GGGGGGGTCGCACGGAGTGGAACAAAAACAGACACAATTTAGAGGGGGGGGGTCTCCACCTCCCAAATTCCCCCGCCAGGTTTGGCTGGCTGGGGAATTCTGGGAGTTGAAGTCCACCCATCTTAAAGTTGCTGAGGTTGTGGAACACTGCGGTAGACCCCTCCTGGTTTTCAAAACCTGGTTGAGCTTGATTCCTGACCCACCCAGCCTGGCTTCATCAATTGAACAGCTACTCTCTGCAGGGTCTCCTTGTGCAATAGAACAACACCAGCTTTTGTTCTGTCCCCGAACAGTTTCCCGTGCTGACCGATGGTGTTCTTCCCAAGAAAAGGCAGAAGGAGGAGCAGCATTAAATAAATATGGGAATAAATTAAGGAATAAATATGCCCAAGGGGCCCCCCGTGTTCCAAAAGAGAGGTACATCCGTTCCTTCTTTCGCTCACTCCGAGTGTGTCAAAAGGAGTCAAAAGTTTCTCGCAGTGTGTGAAGACAAGCAGGGATCAGGTGAGGAGCCCCTTGGAGAGACCTTCCTGTGAGCAAAATGGGTGTTATTGCTTCAGTTGAGTTGAAGGAGGGAGAAAAGGAGGTCAGAAAGAGATCGGGCTTAGTGGTCTAGTTTTGATCTCTTTCCAAAACTCCTCCTAGCTGGATTCACACAACGCGCTAAACCCGAAGTCAGATTTAACCAACACAGTTGCTGCGTTCACACAGTACGCTGGGCCCAAACAAACCATCTTAGGGCTTCGCACACCTGCCTGAGATGGGAGATGTATTCCCAGTACAGGTTGGACCTGAAACCGCCAGCCCCATTGCAGCCTAGTCCGGGGTATCGTGCGAATCCAGCCAACGATGGCTTTCACGCAACATGCTGAGCCCGGTTTTTGAATCCATCCGTGGTCTGGGCTTGCACAACCCTTGAAACCGTAAACGAATCCACGGGCAGGGTGCGGATCGCCCTCTGGCCCCTGCCCGCGTGCGCACAGCAATTAAGCAAAGCTAAATACCAACCAAACGTAGCGTGCTGGGCAAACGATCTACCGAGTCTTGGCTCAGCTGGGTGAAGTGGGTTGTGTGAGCCCAGCCGCTGTGTTTTAGGAAGAGATTTCTCTGCGGTTGCAGTGCCCGGCTTCTGTCGGAGGACCTCCGCCCCACAACGCCACGCCCACGGTTCCTGCCCCGTTGTGGCGTGGAAACAAACCCCGGGACTCTGGAGGAGGCTG